TCGGGATGCTCAGGCCCTGGGGTCTCCACCTGCAAAACTGGCCCTGGATGTGTCCTAACCCTGGCATACCCCGCCCCGTCCAGCTCCTTCATCATACCCTCATCCTGGCCCCTGCCCATCTCCACAACCATAGCCTCGTCCTAGCGCACATCCTCTTTGCCCTGTATTCCTGCCTCCCCTCCTCTCTGCCTGAAAAAGCTTCTGGTATCCAGCCCAAGGCACGACTGAGCTCGAATGCCCCCTTCTGTCCAGCCACGTTGCTTGGGGATGGCCTGGGTGGTTAGAAGCGGAAATGCTGGAGGGGGCGGGTGGCTGTGGCCGTGGGCGTGGAAGTGTGAGTCCTCCATGTACCGGGTGAGCTTACAGGCCAGCTGCACAGTGGGAGGCCTGTCCGGCTGCCCCAGAGGAGCTCAGGTCCATCTGGGAGCCGCTGGGCTAGTGACGAGGCGGGGCAGTGCCCTCTTGACAGCCTGCCAGGGAGGATGAGGGAGGGTGTGGTCAGAGTTGATCCAACCAGGGGCCTGGCCTGACCTCGCAAGGAGGGCTCCTCGCCCTGCCATGGAGGAATGCTCTGTGCTCAGTGGGCCAAGAGGAGCGGAATCGGATTCCAGAGGAGGCGAGGGCGTCAGGGGGAGATGCAAGATGCTGCTGTCTTCCCTTGCTCTGCCAGGAAAGCGGGATGTGGCTTCCGGGGTGGAGGGGGAGGGGGCGTCCCACCCAGGGTGTGCCGTGGGGAGTGGCTGCCTATTTTAGCCACTTCCCCTGAGCTGAGTCACGGGGCTCAGTAGAGCCCCCTCCTGAAGCCACGGCTCCCTGGGGCACAGGCCCTTTCCGGGTGGCACTCAACATCGCCCCCCAAACTGGTGCAGGCCACCTGCTTGTTCTTATCCTCAGAGTTTCACTTCTTCACCCCCAGGTTGCTCCCTGTTCAGAGCTTAGGCTGACAGTGTCATGAGGATGCCATAAGACCAGAGATTTGAAACAGCCTGGTGAGTGGACTCTGACTAGTCCTGGAGCTTCAGCTGTAGGGCTGCAGGGTCCCGTGGGCCCCCCTTGCTGGGCAGGGCGCCCAGTGAGTGACTCCACCTAGGCCCCCGCTCTCAGGACTTGGGGCGTTCTCATGCTGGAGGTCGGAGATGGCTTGGTTTCTCACAAGCCACAAAGCCTCATCCCCACCCCCAGGGAGTGAGACCACGGGTAAGATAAGCGCTGGCCAGACCTTCCTGGCCTTCCTGGGGTGTGGGGCTGTGCAGGGGCCTAGGGATCTCCCTGCCGGCGCCTCGAGCCCTGACCTCTAGCTCTCCCCTTGAGAATGTCCCGAGAGAGGGTGATAGGATGGTGGGGACCCTCCTGTCCTGGAGCCACGATGGCTGGGGCCCCTGGTCCCTGCAGGTGGCCATGGGGGTCCGCACCGTCCCGGCTGAGTCCTGGGCAGCGGGGCCTGCGGTTTCCTTTCCATTCTAACAAGCACTTGAGCTCAGGGAAACCGCAGCGCCTGATGTTGCTCCCTGGGCCTGGGGATTCCTGCCATTAGCTTGAGACCCTTACGCAACTCTGGAGGTTCCTGTCACAGATCCCACAACTCTGATCCTTTTCGTTTCCTCCCCTGTTCCTCCCTCCCTCTTTTTTTTTTTTTTTTTTTTTTCCCTGCCTGAGCAGGCATACAGGCTCTCACTCCAGGACTGGGATTCTCAACCCAGGTGCTCCCCCTGCCCGCGGGGGACACTTGGCCAGTGCGGAGCGGCTTTGCTTGTCCCAGTCACAGCTGGGGAAGGGTGCTGCTGGCATCGGGCAGGGAGCGGCCAGGGATGTGGCCAGACGGCCTACAGGAAGTGGGATGAGCCCCCACCACCAAGGACTCAAAGCTCCAGGTGTCAGTAGGGTCAGCATGGCATAGATCTTCTCCAGCCAGCAGTTGGGGGAGGGAGTTGGAAATGGTCCCTAATCGGAAGCGCTACCCACCAAAGGCCAGAAAGAGGCCTGGCGTGGAGCAGAGAGAGCCCTGGAGCAGGAGACCGGCTTCCAGCCCGGCTCTGCCCTTTGGCACATAAATCTGGATACGTCCCTTCGCTTCAGTGAGCCTGTTTTCTCATGCAGAAAATGAAGGAGTTGTGCTGAGAGCCGAGGCTTCTGTGACCAGAGGCAGGAGCTGAGCTGCAGGCAGGTTGAGGACACCGATGCTCACCTTCTATTCTTGCCTCACTGCCCTGATGGTAGCAGAAGCCTGGGGGGTCCTCCAGTATCCAGAGTGCCTTAGAGACCTGATTTGATTTCCTTTGATGCGAACAGTTCTGAAGCTGACACACTCCATTCTCCTCTTGGTTAGCCAAAGAGTTTTCCCTAAAGTTGGCCTGAGACCCCATGGCTGCCCCCAAGGGTCACATACGGTGACTCTCTGCTGGAGCAATGTGGAAGGGATGGCCCTGAGGCCAGTACTTTGCATGTGTGTCTAGTGTAGGCAGCAGCAGACTATGGCCCAGATCTGACCCACCACTTGTGTCTAAAGTTTTATTGGGACACAGCCATGCCCGTTTGTTTACATACAACCTACTGCTGCTTTCCTACCACTGCAAAGACAGATTTGAGTAGCTAAGACCAAGACCATAACTGCCGTAAAGCTGAAAATCTTTGCTGTCTGAACCTTCATGGAGAACACTTGTGGAAACCTGGTTTAGCGGCTCCGCGTCTGATAGTTTAGAGGTCAGATCCCAGGGTGTAGGGAGGGGTGAGGTTAGGGGTGGAGGAAGCGAATTTTCCTAAGGGTCTGGTGAGGAGGGGGTCATCTCAAGGCCTTTCAGAGACGTCCTCCCCTGACTCTGCCAGCCCGCCTTCCCGGGGTGGCAGGTGAGCCCCGGTGCCTGGCTCCTGCTGCCTGCCGGCCCTGGAGAACTTTGTTTGCTGGAGTGACGAGCGCGCTGAGACTGCCTGGGGGCGGGGGAGCACGTGCTGGTATGGGAACCATCAGGCTGGGCGTCCACAGCAGGACAAGGAACGAGGAAGGAGCGCGTGGGGGTGGGGAGTGGGAGGGCGTGGAGACGTCAGGCCCGGAGCCCCGGAGCTGTAGGCTGAGCTGACGCTGTCCTTGGGCTTGGGAAGGCAGAAAGGCAGCAGCCCAGAGACTGGGGTGGGAGGTGGCATTTCGACAGGTGTTTGGAGACCGACTGTGCCAAGAACCGCCGGACGGGCTTCAGTGGCAACGGGCCTGTTGCAACCCTCTGGAAGCTCATGGTCTGGTGGGGAGATGACAGTCCAGCCAGCAGCTGGAGAACAACATAGCCAGTGCCCGCTGGGGCCCGGGACATCCATAGTGCTGGGGGTGTGGGACCAGGAGCCCGGTGGGGTCTCACCGGGTTAAAGCAGGTTTCCTGGAAGAAGTGACATCTCAGGTGAGCCCTGAGGATGCTGGGTGAGCCTGGGGACTGGTGTTCCAGCAGGGACTGTGTGTGTCCAGTTCAGAGTCCAGGAGACAGAAACGCAGGGCCAGGGCAGACCGCAGGGGTCACGGAGAGGCGAGGAGGGAGGTAGGGACCGGGCGCCAGATAGGGGGCTCTGTGCTGGGGAGTCCTGGGTGGGTTCTGTTTTAGCCAGAAGGCGAAGGATCGAGGAAGGGGAAGCAGGGCCAGGTGGGATGTGGCGGCTAGCCTGGGGCAGCATCAGGAGCAAGCCGTCCTGTGGGGCATCCTGAGTTGCCCCTGGCAACCCGCTCTGCTCAGCCCTGGGCTGCTGGCTTTAGCCTTTGGGGCTGGTTTGGCTTCAGCGTGGGACTTCACCTTGGACTCTGTTTCCCAGTCTTGGACTCTGAGAGGCGGGCAGAGGGTGGACCCTTGGCAGAGCTCAGAGCCCCACGGAGAAGGTGCGGAAGGCAGGGTCCTCACTCCTGGGACACCCAGCGAGGACCGGAGCGCTGGGGAGCCGGTTCTGTGGATCCCCGCGGCCCCACCCTCATTCTGATTCAGAGAGTGGGCAGGCCGCCCAGGTCCCTGGAGGTGTCAGCCGCGCCTCCCTGGGGCCTGTCCTGTCCTACCCTTTCTCTTAGGGCTGTGACTCAGGCTGAGGTGTCCACTAACTTCACAGGGATTGAGGGCAGCCAGCTGGAAGAACTTACAGCCTGTCTCCAGACCGGTTGTTTGCGGGAGTCAAGTCCCTCCCTAGTCTGCCGCCTGCCCATTGCACCTCCCCCGCTAGCTGACCGCCTCCTGGTGGGGTGGGGGAGGCAGGGTGTGGGGGAGACACGGTCCTTTAGGTCCTTTAGATGCAGAGCGGCTCTCAAGCGTCAGGGCAGGCGTGTCAGTGGCTACCTGAACTCCAGAGAGCGCTGGCTTAGCCCCAGAGCCTATGCAGGAGGGAGCCGGCAGGATTCTGAAATTGATCACTAGCTTATTTCACACTGTCTCACTTGGGTGGGAGGGAGGAGGTGTAAATGGCAGCCCCTGGGCCGGATGGGCTCTGGTGCTGGGCGGACAGCTGGGTTAACACTTGCCCTGCTATGCTCTTCTTGCAGCACTGTGATCGCCTCCTCATCGCCCCTTCCAGCCGCCGGACTTCACCTCTGACTGCCGATCCACCTCTGACCCCCTGATCCACCTCCGCCGCACTTCACCGCTGACCCCCGATCCACCTCCGCCGGACTTCACCTCTGACCCCCGATTCGCCTCTGACTTCCGATCCACCTCGGAACCCCTGATCCACCTCCGCCGGACTTCACCTCTGACCCCCACCCCCCCCATCCACCTCCGCCGGACTTCACCTCTGACCCCCCCGATCCACCTCCACCAGACTTCACCTCTGACCCCCGATCCACCTCCGCCGGACTTCACCTCTGACCCCCATCCACCTCCGAGCCCCTGATCCACCTCCGCCGGACTTCACCTCTGACCCACCCCCCTCCATCCACCTCCGCCGGACTTCACCTCTGACCCCCTGATCCACCTCCGCCGGACTTCACCTCTGACCCCCGATCCGCCGCTGCCTTGGAGGCCCCTGTCCTCCGCCCCAGCAGGATGCCCATCCTCAAGCAACTGGTGTCCAGCTCGATGCACTCCAAGCGCCGCTCGCGGGTGGACCTCACGGCCGAGATGATCAGCGCCCCGTTAGGCGACTTCCGCCACACTATGCACGTGGGCCGGGCGGGGGACGCCTTCGGGGACACCTCCTTCCTCAACAGCAAGGCCGGGGAGCTGGACGGCGAGTCTGTGGACGAGCAGGCCCCGTCCTCCTCCTCGTCCTCCAAGCGCAGCCTCCTGTCCCGCAAGTTCCGGGCCAGCAAGCGGTCCCAGTCGGTGACCCGGGGCGACAGGGAGCAGCGAGACGTGCTGGGCTCCCTGCGGGACTCAGCCCTCTTCGTCAAGAACGCCATGTCCCTGCCGCAGCTGAATGAGAAGGAGGCCGCGGAGAAGGGCTCCAGCAAGCTGCCCAAGAGCCTGTCGTCCAGCCCCGTGAAGAAGGCCAGCGCGGAGGGCAGCCTGGAGGAGGCGGCGCCTCGGCGAAACGGGGCCGCCGGCCCGCACTCCCCAGACCCCCTCCTGGAGGAGCAGGCCTTCGGGGACCTGACGGATCTGCCCGTGGTGCCCAAGGCCAGCTTTGGGCTGAAGCACGCCGAGTCCATCATGTCCTTCCACATCGACCTGGGGCCCTCCATGCTGGGCGACGTGCTCAGCGTCATGGACAAGGGGGGCGAGTGGGAGCAGGAGGACGGCGGTTACCATGGCGACGGGGACCCAGCCAGCAGCCTGGCCCCCGCGCCCAGAGCGGCCGGGCAGGAAGGCGAGGGGGGCCCGGACGCGCCCTCCCGCGCCCTGCAGGATGAGGGCTGGGCCGCGGCCGCCCCCAGCCCCGGCTCGGCCCGCAGTGCGGGCAGCCACACCACGCGGGACAGCAGCTCGCTGTCCAGCTGCACATCCGGCGTCCTGGAGGAGCGCAGCCCCGCCTTCCGGGGGCCGGACCGCGCCCCGGCCACTCTCCCTACACAGCCACCCGACCCCGAGTTCTCCTTTATGGATGAGGAGGAGGAGGACGAGATCCGGGTGTGAGGCGAGCTGGAGGTGGGCGGCTCTGGGCGTGGTCCCCTCCCTGCCCCCAGCCATGCAGAGGCAGCCAAGGCCTTGACCCTGAGCCTCATGGATGAGGGGCACTGCGGAGCCTGGGGGCCCAGGAGGACTTGAAGCTGGCTTGGGTGCCTGACTGTTGGTTTTTTTTTGCACACCCTGCCCTGCCCCAGAGCTCCTAGGATGGGGCTGCATGCTGGCAGCAGGCATCAGCTCTCCCGCCCCCAAGACCTCCAGTGGATGCTGCTGGCAACCCGAGTCCCTGCCACGTGGGGCGATAACAGGGCAGCCGGGGTCGCCAGGACTGAGGACACCTGAGTCGCCTCTTTTGTCCTGGCGTTTCTGCTGTGACCGGAAGCGGCCATCAGAATAAATGCTTGTGCCAGGTTGCCTGCACGGGGAACCCCTCGGAGGCAAAGCGGACCTAACGTGTACACTAAACGCGACCCCTTCCGGGGACGAAAACAGGATGCAGAATGGAAGGCAGGCTCCAGGCGGCTTGAATTTTCAGTCAAGACGGGGCCTTCCAGGATGACACTAGGCTAGGCCGCAGCCCTAGCTCTCTCCCTCTGCGTCTGTTGGTTTTTGTGTTTAAATCTTTCTAGAGCAATACCGGGAGCGGTGTTGTAGACCCGCCACTGGGAGGAAGACCAATCCTTTTAGAAAGACCTTTATACTAAGTGCTTCCAAACTTTATTTAGAGCTGTATGGGGTGGGAGGGGGTGGTCTGTGTGTGTCTGTCTTTGGCCCCCTCCCCCATAGCTATTAACAACTGGGCAGGCAGCCAGTGTAGAAAATTTCTGGAAGATGATTATTAAAAAGGCTGTCATTCCTACGGGGGCGGGGTATAAAACCTTTCTTTGAATTGGGTTGTTCCTTCCCCCTCCCCCAACCCGGACTGACTACTTCCCCTTCCTCTCTCAGGCCTCTCTCCAGGGAACCCCCTTCCCCACCTCTGAGTCAACAGCCCGGAGAGCAGAGTGTTGCCAGAGTTAGCAACAAAACAGAATGCTGAGTTAACTTAGAATCTCAGGCATACAGAGGACACTGTGTTTAAGTATGCCTCCTGCCTTATTTGGCACTACTTAGACTAAAAAGTTGGTGTTTTTCATTCTGAAATTCGGATTTCCCTGTGTGCTTGAGTTGAGCTTGGATGTGAGCCCCCAGAGTTCAAGCTGACTCACCTCCCCACGTGCCCTTGGAGCCAACGGAGGGCGGGGGCAGACAGAACCAGCACGGGGTCCAGCCAGGGCGGAGGCAGATGCGCACTCAGACTGTAGCTTAGTTTTTGAATCAGGTGCCCCCTGGTTTCCAGTCCTGCAGCCCCCCGCCCCGCCCCCCCCCCACCAGCTGCCCTTAAAACCCATCTAGACAGTGGTCAGTTCCAGATTTTAAACTGTATATTTTTTTTCCATGAAAATGTTAAAAGAGCAAGGAAACATGAAAATAAAAGGCTCTACGGCATGCCTGGTGTTCTGTCTCTGCTTTTGGAGTTGGGGTTATTTCAGGATGTGGGGCAGGGTAGATAGGAGGGTGCAGATGGGGGGACCTGTGGCTGCCCGAGCCCCCCCGACCCTCCCACAGCCCTCGGGGGCCTGAGGTGGCTTCTCTCTCTGTCTCGGGGGTCTGCCCCTCCTGCACAGTTCTCCAGCTGCTGGAAGGACATGGCCTTGTGTGCCCGTCTGCCCAGGCAGGCCCTTGGGGGCTCTGGGATTTGGTGTCCAAGCTGCCACTTACCTGATTGGGTCCCCTGGCACTTGGTTTGTGCCTCGTTCTCCTTGTCTACTAAATGGGAATCCTGCGGCTCTCAGGGCTTCCCTGGAGGCTCAGACGGTGAAGAATCTGCCTGCAAGGCGGGAGACCTGGGTTCGATCCCTGAGTCGGGAAGATCCCGTGGAGGAGGGCATGGCAACCCACTCCAGTATTCTGGCCTGGAGAAGCTCCATGGACAGAGGAGCCTGGCAGGCTACAGTCCATGGGGTCACAAAGAGTTCGACACGACTGAGCAACTAAGCCATGGTGTTTACCACGGTGTTTCTAAACCCAGGGAGGTGCCTGACCCGCGTGGGAGCTGTCAGCACCAGGACATACAAGTCAAGTCAGGAAAGAGGCCACCCTGCCCTCCCTCCCTTTCCCCATCTGACCTGGCGGATCACCTTACAGAGATGTGGTCTCCTTCCAGTCTCCTGGCCTGGGAGGCAGACTCTGGTGTCCCCATTTTATAGAAGAGATGTGCTCCAGAGGCCACAGGGCCACCTTCTCCAAAGTCACCAAGTGGCAGAGTCAACAGGACTGATTGGAAACCCTTTCCACACTCGTAGGCACCTCGAAGCTTGGTGACTTGGGGAAGTGAGGCTGGGGTGGGGCAGCTCAGAGTGGGACCCCGGGAGCCCAGCGGTCAGCTCCCCCCTCACCCCTTCCCCTCTTTCTGGGTGCATCCCTAGGGTGCGACTGGCAGCCTGGGTGGGGCTGTCTCTGCCCCTCCAATGCCCTCCTCTCCACCTGGGGGCCCCCGGCGTGGCTGAGATCTGAGGTCGGGAAACCCTGCCCCCATCCCGGGAGAAATTGGGCACATACTCATTGTCCTCCTGGGGAACAATTAGAAGCGTAATTAAACTGTTGCCAAGTCCCTCTGTCCCTAGACTGGCTCATTAGAGGTAATGAGAGACAAAGTTATGAGTAGGTGGGATGGTGGCTGGGGGGTTGGGGGGACACCCAAGCCCAGCGGGAATGATGGGTCTCCCAGCTCCAGGGGGATTGGAGAGAGGGATGCTCTGTTCAGCAAAGGCTCAGGCAGGTGTGGGGGCCGTGCCTCCCGGACATCGTTATCCCCCCACCCACTGCACCCACAGCCACTCAGCCAGATCCCTGAGGGGCTGGGAGCAGCTCCCCAAGCTGCGGACCTGCTGCTTGATGGTTCAGGACCACCCGGGGGCTTGCAGAGGCCTGGCTGGACCCACACTTCAGAAGCATGCTTTCCGACCAGGGGCTCCGCAGGCCCACCAGACAAGTGTGGGATAACCACACAAGACCAGCCCAGCCAGCATCACGGACCTTGGTTTGCTGTGTGGCCTTGGGCCAGCTCTGTTCCCTCTCTGGGCAGTTTTAGCTTCTCCATCTTTAAAATTTAGGCTCTAGTTCAGTTGTTTTCAACTTTGTTTTAAAAAACCAGAAGTTCTTTTTGTCATGAGGTATTATACACACAGATGAACCAGAGCTTCTCTGGGGCTGGGGGCAGCCGTTGGGGGGCGTGGGGGGTGGTCCTTTCTCCCCTTTGGTCTCTGAAGTTTGCCTGAGAAGCCTAGGACCCCCACGGAGCATCTCTCTCCCTGAGTTGCTCTGTAGGGCTCCTCTGGCAGCTCAAAGCAAAAGCTGGGAACTCTCTCTGGGTAATAACTCAGTAATTTTAATTCAGATTGCAGCTAACATTTCCGAAAATTTCATGGGACCCCCAAAACCTGCACCAGGCAGGGCTGCAGTCGCAGCTCAGAGATGTGTTAGGACGATCCCCACCCTGGTCCAGCCACCACCAAGGTGCCTCCCCTCGGCCTCCCCGATCTGTCGAGGGGCTCTGCTCTTTGCTGGGTGCATACGGCTCTGCTGTGATCGCGTGGGGGCTGTGTGTGTCCTAAGACTGTGGCTGGGCCACTGGTCTGGAAAGTGGAGGAGGTGGATATGGACCGGGCACCAGCTCCAAAGCCCTTGCTTGCGACCGCTATCCATCCTAACCTAGTGATGTCCACTTTGGAGCCTGGGATGACCAGGTGGGGCCAGTGACCTACGGGCAGAGCTGCGCACAAAGGCTGAGCTGACAGCCGGGCTGGTCGGGGTGTGCCCGAGAGGAAGGGGGGGTGTGTTTGCAGCCAGGTGAGGGGCTGGCGGCGCCAGGACACTTTCAGCAGCTACTGCCACTTCACATCATCCAAAGGGCTCTGCAGGTGGTGCCTCTGCCCTTCCTGGGGTCGCTCGGGGCTGGCCTCTGTCTCCAGCCACAGCCTCGAGCCCTCCTCCTGGCTGGGGTCCAGGCTGGCCCCAGAGGGCACCCCTTTGCCTTCATTCTCACACCCCAGCCACCGCCTCCTCTTCACCTGGGTTGTGCCATGTTCCCAGAAGGTGGACACAAGAAATAGAAAAAGGATACAAGGGGTCAGGACACGGACTTGCCTGGCGGTCCAGTGGCTAAGACTCCTTGCTCCCCCTGCAGGGGATCTGGGTTTGACCCCTGGTCAGGGAACTAGATCCCCCATGCCACAACTAAAGTTTTCGCATGCCACAGCTAAGACTGATAAAAGAAGAAGAAGGGGTCAGGACACCTGCAGGGAGGGGCTTTCTAAGGATCGGCACATTTTAGGATCTGGTTCACTGCCCGCCTCCACCCATTCTACAGATGGGAAGACAAAGGCTGGAGAAGGCAGACCGGCTGCAGTCCTGTGAGCAGACCCTGTGAGGTGGACTGGGCTGGCTGGCTCTGCGGTGGGACAGACAAGGCACAGCCTGACCAGGTGGACTGTGTGGGGCAGAGCCAGGAGCCTGCTGGTCACCAGGGTGGCAGAGCGGGCAGGGCTGGCTTTTCCAGGGCTGTCTGACACCCCCGCCCTTCCCTGTCTCACCTTAGCTTTCACACAGCCGCCTCCCAAATGTCCAGAGTCCACACGCGGGTGGGGACCCTGCCTGGCATGGCCCCTCCCTTGCAGTAATACCTGCATGCAAAATACCCCTAAGAGGAGAAGAGGGTGGCAGAGAATGGGGCGGTTTGATAGCATCGTCGACTCAATGGACCTGAATCTGAGCAAACTCCAAGAGACAGTGAAGGACAGGGGGGCCTGGCATGATGTGGTCCACGCTGCAAAGACTCAGACATGACTGAGTGACTGATCAACAACAAGACTATCCCTAGACCCCAAAGACCCTGAGTCAAGATGCAGGCAAGTATGGGTAAACAACAAGGTCCTGGGACTTCCCTGCTGGTCCAGTGGCTAACACTC